TTGGATGGCTGGATGGTAGGGGAACATAGATCTTCTATGTTGTAGGGGAAATATAGAAACCTTTCCCTTGAGTAAATTGTATTAGACTTCACGACTTGTGGGTTTACATTTTACACCTTTGTGACTTTATGACTTCACGTTAGGGGTGGCAATGGATCGGGACCCACCTAGACCCAACCAGAAATGATGACGAATTGGGTCTGGGTCAAAATATTGGACCCGGACTAGAATAGTGTTGTTATTTAAATAATATTCAATATATAATATTTAATAATATTTTAATAAAGGTTGCAGTTTGCATACGGATGCATCTGTAGGTGTAGAGGTAAGGTGCACCTTCAAATTTTATCATGGTATATAATTTTGATGTAAAATGTTCTTAGGATCATCTCAAAATCTATTTTTATATCTAATTATAAAATTTTTAATTTTAAAATTGGTTAAAAATCAAGTAGATCTGTAAACATATGAAATCTTGAAAATGAACGGTATAGATAATATGTTGTAAAATGCACTATTTCTAAGACTTAAAATCTTTTTATTTTTCATGGTCATACATCTCGATGTCGAGATGATCAATCAAATGATTTTTCAACGTTAAAACTACCATTTCCAATGGATTTTTTAGGGGCATCGGTAGTTCTACATTATAAAGTAGCATCCTTATATAAACTTTTTCCTTTAATAAATATCCTATATATATTTTCAGTTATAATATCTAAATAATTCATTTGTGTTTGACGTAATATTTAAACATATTAAATATATGCTTTTTTATTTTTGGATCGGGTCCAATATATGCTTTTTTATTTTTGGATCGGGTCCATTCAGGTCCGGTTGGGTCCGGGTATAGTCTAGTCCGGGTTTGGGTCCGATAACTTTCAGTCCAGTCGGGTCCAGGTCTCATAATATTTTTCGGGTCCGACCTGTTGTTACCCGTACTTCCCGTGGTTCCATCCCTGGCGTACATGGTCGTACATGGCGCTTCTGCAGGTGTGCGTACTATATGCTTGCTCCCCTGGGTAAAACATCCGACTGAGCGCACTATATGCTTGCTCCCCTAGGTAAAACATCGGACTTTTGACATTATATTTTGGGAATTACCTTAAAATCACATGACGAAAAAAACACAATTACTCTTTTTTAATTTTAAGGTGTGATGGTCCAGAAATCACATTGTATTCAATCCCAAGGTCTGAATTCATTTTCATTTGAAATTTTTGTTTTTCTAATTTTGGTGCCCATGTTTAGTAGGTTATGGCTCCAAAATCAACAATTCTAAAAGAACTCTAAGTAGGAACTTTGCCTTAGGCAGCAAAATTAATCTACTGAAACATATAATCTCATTCAACTCCCTCAAAGTTAAAAGATGAAAGCAGTTTAGAAGTACTGTGCACGAATTACTATTAACAAGGGCATTTCTGACAATTTTAATATAACTTAAGGCGGTGCGGAGTTCTTGAGAATCGTTTGGAATTTATTAATGAAAAAAGTTTACATAGAGTGCAACTTTATCCTATAGGAAAAAGGCACTCATCAATAATCCATTGAAAAAGGTCGTTCTGATGTTTAATAATCCTCTGAAGTGATGATGATCTCGACCTGGTGTTTTGTGGCTCATGTCATTGTTTTTTTTCAAACTGGGCTAGAAGCCACCCTTAAAAAAAAAAAAAGAACAAAAAATTGACAATCTGCAAAAGAATCCGCCACAAATACAATCCAAATTCAATTTCACTCATTCATTGATCTTGAATAGACGAAAAAAAGAAAAAATAAATAAATAAACAATAACTAAAACAAACCTTTATTTGGAGACTTTCCTATTTTATCTCTCCTCTCTATTTTTTCTCTTAGCCTCACCTAACAAAGACATTCCAAAATAAACTCATGCCCACCCAATTATCCTAGCTCACTCCCTATTCTTAAGAAAAACAAACAAAAGAATAAAAATAACAAAAAATTAAAATAATCCTAATTTTATTTGCATTAAAAATTACTCTCATTGCGAGGCAAAACAACACGAAATTGTGGAGATGCTCAAGTGTAACCAATGTTTAAAACCTATATAGGTCTGCTCAAGTGTAACCAATGCTTTAAAACCTATATAAGTCACCAACTTGACCCACCCAGAAAATAGTTGATTCCGCCTACCACCTTGACCCACCCAGATAGTTGATTCAGCCCAATGACACAATTTCCCGCTGCAGGAATTGATCCAAAAAATAATTATTTGAAAAATTACAAAGCCATAGAAAACATACAAGGGGAAGGAACCAGACGATTCCACCCATCCAGATCACAGAGTTCCCTAACATACTTGCAGGCTCTTTTAACAACATGGGTCAAGTGCGTCATGGGTAAGTGCCAGTAGATTGAACGATCAAGGAATAATGTCAGTCAGTTCCCATCAATTCCCGCTCTACATCAACAATTTCCAACCCGGATTAGCATTTCTCCAACCAGTGTGTGCAAGATTGGAACAACTAGAAAGGTCAATTGAAATCCATCAAATGCACTCAACCTACCCTCAGAATGAAAAGTAAAATGACGCTGCCTGCTCCATTAGATCGTTTCCCCTACTCAGGTCCATCTAGACCATCTAATCCTAAGAATGAATCCTTCGGTTCTGAACTTACCCAGAAATGAAAAGAGGGAAAACATAAAGAGGTGGAACCAATGCACCATTCAATGAATTTACCACATCATAGATTTGCACGACCTCTAGGAAATCATTTTTATTAAGCCCATAGCATTATCTTCCATCAGAAACGATAAAATGGTTCTCAGTGAGGTACAAGAGATTGATGTTTACATCTCATAAAAAATGATTATTCATTGAAAAGCCTTTCCAATATGGGTGGCTCTTGAATTAAATATATATATATATATATATTAGAAGCAAGTAAAAAGTAACTCAGGTCATTAGGAAGAAAAAACCTGAGGTTTTATTGTATCATTATAATAATCAGTTGACACCATAGACCCATTTCTCGGCATTGCTGGTGTAATTGACAAGCTCCTCTGGTTTAAACCACAGGTTTATCTCATCCACAGCTGTCTCTGGCCCATCACTTCCGTGGATAATGTTCCTACAAGTCCAAATTCATAAACATGACATTCTTCACAAAAACAAACACCCCCCCTGAGAGAGAGAGAGATTTGTTATAAGTTGTAAGAGAAGCCGTCTTTGTATTAAATAGAGAGATCAAGGATGGTTTATTTGTTATAAGAGCAGCTGTCTTTGTATTTTCTTAGTGATGCTGTCGTTATTCTTCTAACATACACTTTACTGAGTATGAGAAATTCAGAAAAAATAAAAGCGTTGTTTCTTATATTTCCAAAAATACTGAGCATTTCTGATCTGTGTTTATTAGCACAGCATGATACATAATTTAAGTGGTTATTTATAAAGTGGATCATGTCTTTAGCCGTGCCACTCACCTTGTAATTAGTAAGTGTCCTGCAACCAAAATGAGTGGCATATTAAAGGAAATCACAATTTGCATCAACAACAGCTCGAACTACTTTTTCACAAATTGTAATTTCAATTGCTGATTTCTCCAATTATAATTGGAAATGGTGGTGTCACCAAACAATCTTAACGATGATAATATTGCTATTTCTACTCAGCCATCACTTATCCAAAACCATTGTTGTTTGCTTTGGGTAGTTCCCTGGTGGTATTCGAAATTGGGCATAGCATCACAAACTGTGCAATTATCGCATCCAATAAAAGCCCAATCCCGAAGTGTTGTTTTACTGGTTCCCCAAAACAACAAACGACAGTGAAATAGCTGATTTCCTGCAAACCAAATAACTAAAGGGCTAATCCAAATGCAGGCCCAACATGCATCACACTGTAGAGGCAACTATTTTGGTGACAGCCAGAATGGGCATCATGGCACATTTGGATGCCAAATTTTACCCCCGTTTAGGTGCACACATGCACCTAAGCACCTAAAGCACTGCTGCTTTGCGAGGGGCAGTAAATTCAGAAAAACCAAAAATTTATCCAAACCACAAAAGTGGTGCTTTAAGCTCAAAATTGAAAAACAAGTGATTAATAAATGAAAGCATTCAAATTCACACATCCATACCTCCCAACAACAACTGCAAGGTCGCCTCTGATTGTTCCTGGCTCAGATTTCTGCGGATCCGTAGCTCCAATAAGCTTCCTCCCATACTTTATGACTCCTTCACCTTCCCAGACCTAAAAAACAAAACCTAGTTTGATTATGACAAAGAAATCTTAGATATACACGGAAGATAAAGATAAAACTATAGCCAGGATATATATAATTTTTCTCACCATAGCAAGGACTGGACCAGAGCTAAGGAAATCACATAGGCCGTTAAAGAAGGGTCTCTCACTGAGATCATGGTAATGTTTCTGTGCAAATTCCTTTGATGGAACCACCAGTTTAATGGCCACAAGCTTGTATCCTTTTTGTTCAAACCGTGAGATGATCTCTGCAATCTGAAACACATGCAATTTCATGATTATAACATAAAAGAGCACAAAGTTTTGAAAACAAATTAAAAGCCACGAATATCCATTGGAGAGGAATCAGAAGCAAACTTACAAAGAGCTTATAGTAACTGACAACAATAGACCCTAGTCCCAACTAGTGGATCTGCGCGGTAAAACACACTCTGAAAATACACACACAGAGATTGTGTTTTGACAGGATCATTGGAACATTTTACATTTGTATCCTTGAGGAATAATTAAAATACCTCCCTATATGGGGAGGTGAAATACAGTCGGTTCAAACAGGAACTCATAAATTTAAGCCATCAGTGATACTTAACATTTTAACAGCAGAAGAAGATTTCCAGAGAAAATACCTACAGTCATAATAACCATGTTAAGCATACATCCTTGTCATTGTGGGGTGGATGGGGGATTGGATATGCCTAAATCCTATTTAAATTCCACATTAGATACCTCATATATCATTTGCCACTTCCCCATCCTATTCACCTCCATATTTGAGCAAAGCACATCTAAAGTCGTAACAAGTAATCTCTGTCTAAACATGAGTTTTAGACAAATATCTAATGATGTCAGGGTATCTGTTGACCCACAATTTCCCCAAATCTGTGTTAGGAACAGCCAACATTATACTTGAAACAGGTAAAAACACCTCAAGTTCCTAGTACAAGTATTATATCTATCATACAGATCAACAACAAACTATTTTGTTCCCACCATTATTTTATTGGGTGATTAGAGCCTACCTTCAAATAGTGTCGAGAAATGTGGTTTCAATATTGGAAATCTTTGTGATAGCCTTAAAATATATTTTCATATTTATTTATAAAGTTTAAATCTTCAAAAACAGTGTAGATCAACAGATTTATGAAAATCTTGAAAATTGACGGTCCAAAAAATGATAACGTACACTATTTCCAAAACTTGAAATCCATTTTTTTCTCATGTCCATGCATCTTGATGTCGAGATGATCGATTTGAAGGTATTAGAGTATCAAAACCACCTCTTTTAGTTAAATTTTTGAGGTAGGCTCAAATTTGATCGTTTAGAGCCTTGGCTCTATACAAACTTTTCCCTATTTTATTTACTTGAAAATGCATATTGTTTCTTTACCCGGATTTTATTCTAAGAAGCATGATGTAGAACTTTTCCCTTTATAGGTTCTCTTCGATAACTTCCATCTTTGTGAACGTGTCTCAACATGCATAATAAGCAAGCCAACTAATCATCCATATCTCAAAAAATGGGAGTTATTGAAGGAAGGTTTTTTACCAGGCCTCTTTGTACTCCATCTGGCTTAATAGCAATAAAAGTACGTTCCAGCTGCAAAAAAAAAAAATATGACAATTCTTGCATTAGACATTAAGAAAAAGGCACAAAAAGGCAATCTGCATAGTGTGAGTACAGATAAGGAAAATACCTCGGCAGCTTGGGTTTGGTCGTGCAGCATGTAAACTAATCAGTCAGAACAAAGAGATTAGAAATAAACATGAGTTTTGAAAATTAAACAATTAAAGCTGAAATAAGGGTAAGAAGAATAGTGATAGTTATCAAAAGTAATAAGGGAAATGGGACCGATATTTAAATCGTATTCTACATTGTATTTTCTTCTTCTTTCACTGGGTAATTGCCTAGGTAAATTTAGAAACCAATACTATAAACAGCATATTAGCAGAGCTCGCACAGACCAAAGCCCTGACATGCAACAAACATAAGACAATGCACACCAACCATCATAATTTTCTGAGCACTACTTCATCATATTCTTCATCAGAATAGCTCAGTGATCCTTAAAAAAAGAGTATAATGACAGTCCAATGGCACCCCAAAATAATGCCACATGGAGTCCCCAAGCATAATACTGAGATTTACAAAAGAAAGGATCAGAAAACGAGGTGATCATCGCAAGAATACTGAGAGGCCATAAAAGGATGCCACAAGTGGGAAACAGCTGTCGGGCGAAGTCTAGGCTAGCATTCATAGCTATAGAAGCAGCCCACGCCTTTTATTTCAACCCATTGTCATGTGTAAGCATCACAATTTGCTGTAGAAGAGCTTGCGAGTGCCACAATACAAAAACTAGAGCAAGGGCAGGGGCACTCTTCCTTTTATCCCACTACATCCGATCATGTCCCCCTGTAATTTTCAAGCTCAGACCTTTTACTACAAGTCATCATGTCCTTTCTTTCTTAAAGATAGACTAATCCAAGACACAGCCAACAGAGATATACATAAAAAAAAGAACTCAAAAATTATGCCGTACCAGCCATTGGAAGACACAGGGCCCCAGAAATGCATCCCCTCAAAGCATTATTAGAATATGCTTGCTCATTATGGAAAGCAAGAGAAGAAAGGCCCCTTCCCTTATAATGGTTGTTGCTGCTGTGGCCCGTCCTATCCACCAGAAGGAACAAGAAGCCAAGAGATGGTCAGACCATCAAACTAATCAAATAAGACATTCAATCTCTCTCTCTGACACACCCATACACACAACCTCACCCACCCACCCACCCAAACACAAAGATGACAGAGAGAGGCATCATATGCCACGTATAAATGAATGTGTAGGAGAAACCCCATGAAAGGAAGAAGAATACCTAAATTGCATATTTTGACACAAGTGATTCATCATATAAAGCTTATATAAGCCAAGACACTTCAAATAGAACCAAAAAGGCCCGTAGAATAACTCAATAAAATCAGTCCAAGGAACCTAATGCAAACTTAACATATTTATGGGTTTTCATTTGAGAGTGACCATGTAAATCTAAGGCAAATTCCATCTGAATGCTGAATCAAACAAATTATCAACCACAAAAACACGGAAATGAAAAAGGAAAGCATAAATACAATAACTAGCATAGAATTCCATAAATATAACACAAAGAACAAAATTAAGGGAAACAAACTTAAGAAAAAAGTCACAAAACGTAAATATTATTGAAGTCATTGAGAAATTGCAACACATATGCAAAGAAACCAATAACAACTTGAGAAAGCAGTTAACAAAAACCCAAGAGAAATAATTAGACAAAATGAAAGGTAACTTCGTCACAGTGAATGGAAGAAAAATGATAGTTAAACAAAATAAACTCAAATAAAGTTGAAAACGATCTTATCAGGATGAATTTGACATGTCCCTTTGAGATAGAGTGAAGGATCAGCCATGCATTAGAAAGAAAAAGGTAAGAACTGCATTCATCAAACTGCACCCTACTTCTAGGATTACATGACAAGTAACACATCTTTTGTTTAACCAGATAAGACATTCATGAGAATATGAGCAAATACATAAATGATAAAATGGGAAAGCATACCAAAACAAAGTTATGGCTTATCATACACCATAGGCCAGGGGCATCCACCATGCATTGCCTACCACGGGTTGCAGCAGATATTAATCATGCCAATGATGAGCAATTCACCCAGTATGGTTGATCTCAACTATTCATCATAGGGAACGGAAGGTGATGCCCCCATGGTGTATCAGATATCATACACCAGTGATATGTGGTATGATTCTCAGTAACCAAAAAAAACCCAGATAAAGCAAACAGAAAGATTAAACAAGGATTTCAGGTTAAAGAAGCTAAGGTGTTTAATGCTTTTTATTTATGGATGATTAATACTCTCAATGCTTAAAGCAAGCATACAAGGCAAATTAAGAATAAATGCATAGTTACCAAACCAGAAGCAGGTTAAGGAAAGACTAATTATGCGACAAATTTAAGTTAGGACTCCTTGATTATACCGAAAGAAACCAAATATCCCAGAGAATATTAGAAATCAAGCAACATGCAGTGAATTGTCCATAGAAGCATCAAAACCTATGATACAAAGACATGGATGTGTGTGTCAGCATCTTTCCCGGATTCAATTGTATTAAAAACTCAAAATTGTCCTTTTAGACATAACATACCCGTATACCATTAAACGAAGGGGGAAAGGTGAAATTTTTGGCAACATTAAGTACTTTTATAGAGAGATTTCAAGAAAAAGGTTAAGAAAAACTGTCTAGGCAAACACACGTGGTGTCCCTTGCTGTGTCAATATGTTCAGAGAACCATCAGCACGCATGTCCATGTCATATAGATCAAGCTTGACGAAATAAAACTGCACTATTATTTCATCCAATATATCTAAATGACTTTGCAAAGGCACGCATCATAATATGGGCAATTCCAGAACTGATCGCATCAAGAGAGCTCGCTCCCATCACTATCGCGATGAGAAGATATAATCTAAAAAGTAACTCCATTGGATCAAACCAAACTGTATAATCCAATACCAAACAATGTAATGTGTAGGCCCATCAGTAATCCCTCTAAAATGTGAGAGGAAATCAACAAGTTACCAAACAAGAACTTCCCACAACTGATCGATGATTCTTGAAAGGACCAGGTTTCTATGCAGCCAAGCCCGCATATGTAGAAATGCGGGCCTCTCAATAAATCTATTTTTAAGATGGATTTTAAGACTTGATCTTTAAGGACATGTAATCTATAACATGGAGATCATGAATATGAAAAAATATACAAGTTTTAAAAACTAGAAATAATAATTCTAGTAAGAAAACATTTGGATCGTTAGTTTCCATTGTTTTTAGATGGAACACCTAACCGCTTTTGTAGAAATGCAGTCCAGCATGCATGAAACAATTTTCCTTCTTGAAAAGCAAGAGCTCCAAAATATATATATATATTAGAACAATAAGAAAACAATTCTGAAGATAAATCTAAAGCCAGAAAGACCCGACAGCCAACATTTCCCCCAGCCCCAAAAAAAAAACACAAGATCCAATATCCAACACTACCATGATCTCTTCACAAATGAATATGAACAAATTCCACCAATATGATGCAAGGGGATATGACATCAAAACTTGTTTCATCAGGTAAACACATGAAGATTTCATAGAAAAATAGGGATTAATATACAGGAAAACGCAATGAATTATACAAGATAAACCCGAAATGCAGGTGAGCAATCAGTGGAACAAAATAAAGGGCCTGAGAAACGCACAAGTTATGATTTTATATTTGCGAACATAAGGCAATGGTAACTCTAGCAGGCAGACAATACCATTTTATAATAGTATTAAAAGCTTTACAGAATAAACAAATGGCATAAGTACCGTACCGATTGACGTAAATCATAGAAATGGAGGAGGAAGGAGAGCATGAGGAAAACGTAATATGCAAGCCAAAGGAACACCAAAAAGAATCACAAATCTAGGGTTTTCACAACTAAGAACGGTGAAACGACTGGACCACTTCATAATAGGGAAAAAATAAACTGGAATATTCTGCAAAGTAAACAATCTCTCAGAAAGTTCCTTATTCAAAACAAAAACAAAAAAACAATCCCTCAGAAAGTTCCAAAGAACCCATGAGAGTTACACGTATAAATACAGGGGTTATGCAAATACCAAATAAATTCAATAACTTAAAATAAAAGCAAGTTCTCATAAATCAAGCCTTTTTTTTGCAATAAAGTAAACTACAAAGTAAGTTTCAGCACAAATGAAGGCCTTAAAATAAAATAAGAAGTATAAAAGTTGAAAACAGTAAAATGTAACTTTAAAGCAAACCATATCTAAAAGAAGTAACATGTTGTAAAAGCACAATGTAGCAGACAAGGCAGTCAAATGTAAACTTTAAAACCAAACCCTCGCCGAAAAGTAGCTAAAAGAGCACATTTTAATATAAGAAACGATCAAACTCACCAGATGAAACAAGTGAAGATCGAGACGCTGATACGACTGACTTGGCAGCCTTCGAAGCGGTTCTGAAGATCTGAGAGCTCATCTTCCAGCTCTAATGGAGAAAGTAGAACTAAGAATTAGGGTTTGATTCTCTTGCAGAGAAATCGCAGAATGAGGAGGATTTTTTTTAGGGTTTGCTATGTGGGAGTGAGGTTTGGTTTGTGCCTGAAATACGGATCTCAGCGTCTTATCGTTAGAGGATCGGTGGATCTGGCCCGCTGGTTTATTTGCACGTGCTATTCCTCTTGGACTTTTTAAGGGAATTAAAATTGGAAGAAAGGAGGCCCAACTCCCAAATTGTATTCAGATTCCAATGCACCTCCGTCCAAACAGGAGGAAAGTGAGAGAGAGAACGGGCGACTGCCTAACGAGAACATTTCGGAAAACGAATTTCCGGAGAACTTTTCTTTTTGAAAAAATTATAAGGTGAAAGTTTATATGAGGTTGCACCTATAAAATGCATCTAAAAAAATCCATTAGAAAATATTAATTTGATGTTGAAAAACTCTCTAATTGCACATCTTAACATCGAGATGCATGGAGATGAAAAAAAAAAACAAAAAAAAAATTGAATCCTAAAATTAGTGCATCTAGCATCACATTATTTGTGCCGTCCATTTTCAAGATTTTCATGTATGTACATATCTACTTGATTTAAAATATTTTTAGAGTTTGAAAATTGAGAAAATTACAAATAACCCAAGACTAGTACGAACCTTGTTTTTTCACACTTTTTTTCCCCAAAATACATTTTTCTAGCAAATACCCCTAAGTCAAAAAGTTTATTTTTTTATATGAAAATGCCATTTCCGTACACAATAAATCATTTTGGCTGGATTTTATGCGGACTGTCAAATCCGAGTAGCAATTGCTAGACTACACCATCAAATTGTCAAACCCGTGCATTTATGCCGGACCAAATTACCGGATCCCTTATTCTAGAAAAATGAGTGTAGGAACGCACTTTTCAATTGCTGAACCCCTTGTTGCAAACGCCAGAGCACATTTATGATTGTCGAACCCCTTTTTGTTCCATTGACTTATACTAGAGGACCGCCACTGTTATTTATCGGACCGACATTATACTGTCAGACCGTCCTAAGAATACGATGGAACGCCTTTTCGTGGGAAAGATGAGACAGAGTGTAGGTAAAAGTAAGGGAGGGTAGTTTAGATTTATTTTATTTCATTTTGGATTGGAGGGTATTTGCTGAAAAAATGTATTTTGGAGAAAAAAAGTGAGGAAAAAGGTTTTGGTTGGGGTTAACTTGTTTAGAAATTCTAGTATTGAGGGTTATTTATAAGTTTCCTTTGAAAATTATAACTAAAGATAAAAATAGATTCTAAGGCTATTTTTTTTACATCAAAATTACATCTTACAATAAAATTTGGAGGTGCACCTTATTTGTATTGCTTAAGATTGCAACACTATGCAAACTGCATCTAAATGAAACATTTATGTCTCAAACAATATCTAAAATTACATGACAATCTCTCTCTCTTTTTACTTTCTTAGTGGGAGTATGGTTATGTGTGGACCATATTAAGCAAATGATGTTTGTTGATATTGAATTGAGCTTGATGTGCTAGGCCAGCCAGTTAAAAAAAACTCATGTTATCTAGGAATAGGAATTAAAACTGATAGGGGTTATAACGAGTCATCTCTTTATGAGGTCGGAGTATGCTTAGAAGAGTGAGCCGAGGGATTGTGTGGCCCTTGTATGTGGCGGAGGCATTCAGAGATGGAGCCGGAACCTCATCTACGTACCATCACACAACATGCACATATGATAGACATTATCGGAAAAGCGAACCACCTTTCAGGGTGAAGCTTGTGCATATGAGAGAGATGACCCCTATACACCATAGAGTTGTGGATTGCATTAGATCTAGGTGACATTGATACGTCTCTAAGAGATAACCTGAAACCCATAGATCAGGATTACAATATATTCCCATTAATTAGACTTTTGTGGCCCACTAATGAGCTCCTGCATGGACTGTGGGTCATGAGCAACACTAGGTCGATTTGAGAAAGTAAGTGTGGACTGCAGTCTATAATAGAAGGTGGAGTGCCTCAGTATTTGTTTATTTATTCCTAGACCATATGGATCTTTTTCCTATTAAAATATTTAATCATGTTTGATTTAATGTTATATGATTTTTACAATTATTATTTGAATTTTTCTGTATCTCTAGGAAATTTATTTATGAAATTTGGATTTTTATAAATAACAAATATATTGATTTTATATTGATTTAATTATTCAAATTGGATTTTATGAATTTTTAAAAATCATAAATTATTTTAAATAATTTTAATATTGAATCGGAGGCCCAATTATGTATATGGGCCCACCATGACAATTTGGTGGGGCCCATGACCTAGGATGGCGCGTCCCACCTTATGAAACCTTTCATTTGTTGTATCAAGTTCATGTCTTGAGGGTAAAGAAAGCTTGTGTTTTAGAAAATGTGTGTTTGAAGGAAGCTTTGAAATTAAATAAGGAACGTGTGAGAAGGCTCGTGCGTGAAAATAAGAAAGCACAATATTTTTTTAGATATTTTTTATTTAAATTAATTGATGAAAAAATGGTTTGAAAAATAGGGGATAAAGGTTCTAACATGTTCCATATGATCTTGACGGTCTATCTATAGAATGAATTACTCATTTCTCTCACCCCACAAATCACCCAATATCAATGGTACCTATTCAATGTCACTAGAAGAGACAAACATATAAAACCCTAAAAAACACTAAATCCCTTCAAGTACTCTATAAATGTATGCCCTCTCCTATATCTCATACACCAAAATCTATTATCTCTCTCCCATAAGATTATAGAGGGGCACACCCCAGCATAGAAAATTTATCTCTCTCTCATCTCTGATCTCTCACATGACCTAAAGGGTTAAAGGTTTAGTAAAGATATTCTACCTCTTTCAACTAAATTATTAAGGGGTTAAGCTTTAGTTTGAGATCCAAGCTTTTTGAAAGGAGTTCTTGTTCAATTGGAGGGTTTGACTAAATTATTTTCCCATGTTTGAGATTGAAGGTTTACCATTGATCCCGCGTCATCAGAAAGTGATAACTCGGTGTAGGGTGTAATAAATTCGGTTGAGGTAATATTCGACCCTCTCTTTCTTATTTCTTGTCATATTTACTTATTGTGTATTTTATTATTCCCTTACATAGTTTGTGTCTTTCTTTGGTTATTAAAAGAAAGGTCTATAGTGGCATCATTTATTTCTTTTGTTTTTTTTGAAGTTGATTTATTGTAAAATGATTACTTGTGAGCGATCTAAGTCGGCTTCTTTGCTTGCAATTGTGGTGGTTTGTGCACAATTGTGCACCCTACTATTTGTCCCACATTCTCCCAAACACGTGCGCAAGAAGTGCCACCAAATTGCCCTCCGTACAAAGTTTAGTGCACATGCGCACCACGTATACTCAACTCAACGTATGCGATTCACGAAAAAACCGTGCCGGTTTTTTGCGCGCAATTGTAGCGGCTTGTGCACCCTACTATTTGCCCCACATTCCCCCAAGCACGTGCACAAGAAGTGCCACCAAATTGCCATCCGTACGAAGTTTAGTGCACATGCACGTCGCGCGGGCTCAACTCGAAGCGTGTGATTCACACGGAAATCGTGCCGGTTTTTTGCGCACAATTATAGCAGCTTGTGAGTGATCCGAGCTGTGAAGAAAAAAAAAAAAGGAAAAAAATAAGGAAAAAAGTAATATATACTCGGGCTAGATCACATAAAGTCATTTCACCTTCTTCACTCCTTTGTCCGCCTTATCTTTGTTGCATTTTTCCCATAGACCAGTTGATGAATATATATTAGCCCGAAGTATATAATTATCTGAATTTTCATGCTCAAGCTCAGAGAGATAATCAACTATTTTTTTGGGCAAGCTCAGGGTTTCATGGATTCTACAAGCCCTCAAAACAGATCCCCAAACTGCAGGATTGGGCTCCATAGGCATTCGAGATATGAATTCCATTGTCTCCTCAAATTGGTCTGAGCATGCTAAGAGATCAACCACGCAAGCATATGGCCCTACAGCTGGTTCAATGGTATAATCCAAGCTCATCATATAAAAAAACAGGCGACCTTCATCAATTAAACCTCCATTGTCTCCTCAAATTGGCCTGGCGTGCTAAGAGATCAACCATGCAAGCATATTGCCCTACAGCTAGTTCAATGCCATAATCCAATCTCATCATATCAAAAAACAGGTGACCTTCATCAATTAAATCGGCATCGGCATGCCAACAAGTTGAAAGCAAATTAGTGAATGTGCAGTGGTTTGGGCAAAGTCCCGACACACTAAAATGGTGAAAGAGGCTAAACATCATCCATGCCAAACTCATGCATGACATAACCAGCTATCATGGCATTCCAAGAAACCAAGAACCTTTAGGCAGAACATCGTTGATCCTCGTTGCTTTTTTTATTGACCCACATATTGAATACATATTTATAAGAGCATTCTAGTAAAAGCCAGAGTCTGTAAATCCATGCCTAACTATGTATTAGTGTCTTTCTCCCTTGTCTCAAAGCTGCCAGTCTTGAATAAGAGGGATAAGAGAGAGAGATATGGAAGGGAGGGAGGGAGGAAAAGAGAGAAAGGGGGAGAGAGAGGAGAGAGAAGGTTTTGGGGACAAAAGTGAGCAAGAGAGGGTTTGGGGGAGAGAGGAAGAGAGAGAGGGCATGGGAGAGAGATGTTTGGAGTTGGAGAAACATAGGGACAATGTGAGGGGAAAAAAAGACCGAGGAAGAGAGAGAGCGCATGGGAGAGATGGTTGGAGTTAGAAAAATATAAGGACAATGAGAGAGAGGGGGGAAAGAAGAGCATAAAAGAGAAAGACTATCACTTCCTATTGGATATTGTTTAGGATATAAATATGTCATGAAATAGGTTCAAATGGATTTAGAGAGTTAGAAGTAAGTTATTTCAAAAAACAACGCTGCTAGATACATTTCTATTTTGTGAGTTTACTGGGAAATAGTACACCAAATTAAGGGCATAAGGAAATATTTCCCAAAAAAGAAATCATACAATGTATAACGAAATTATATAATGTATATAGAATTGTTATTTTATTCAAAATACTGCTTGTGTAAACATGTATTTGTTGGATTGGCCTTTACAATCAAGTACTAAACACCCAACACACTGTCAGTATCCATGTAAAATTAGATATAGAGAAATTCAAGCCAAATTGGTAAACTTTATTTCGTTCTCTCTTCTGCTCAAAATAATTTGCATTAATAAATATACACTGTAACGGAGATGAGTGCCTAAACAATACCGATAGTGTGATCTGCTTTATAAATAATAATAAAGATTATGTACATAGAAATATGAGGGCTCCATGTACAGAGAGTATTACGCAACATTCCTTTTTGGATGAGTAGCGAAACAATTTTAATAGTTAACCCAGCAGCCCCACCTTTCTACAGCAACAGATTGATAATTTACAAAGCGCAGCACGATCTTAAACCAGGAGAAATTTCCAAGGTTTGGCTTTCTCTGTCTTCGGATCATTATGAAGCACACCAGAATTCATTTCATTTCTTATAGCAGTTGACCATGAATCCACCTGAAAAAGAAATGACAAATACAAAGTGAAAAACTAAACAACCAAAAAGAGATGCAATAGATTGGATCGCACATTTGAATTTGCTAGGAAATAATAAAAAGCAATCATTTATTCACAAAATTAGAGAAAGTATTATGGGCACAGTATGTACAGACACTCAATTAATGAAGAACCCAGTTCCCCCCGCCCATTTAGGAGCACAAGAGGCAAGTGTTTGATCAGCTCTGCTATTCATGGGCAACGGGCCATTCTCCCCACTTCCTAAAGAGCTCCCCCAACCATTTAAAGAGGAAAAAAAAAAAACAGTATAACACTTTTTTTAGATAACCCTCTTTCTTAATAGAAAGAAATATGGGTGTCTAACCTCGACCACAGTCTATAACAGAATGCAAATGTTTGAAAGCTAAACCAGTATGCAATCAGTTTTAAAATATTTACATATATAGTGACGAATGCAAATCCTACTGCAAAACAAAAGGCCCTCTAATGAAGAAATCCCAAAAAAGCATAAGAACATATGGTACCAATCTCAAATTGCATGGGATGTTTACTTGTAGAAGCATTTAATGGGTTAAACATATTTAACCGCATGTTAACTCAATGGGAACAACACCTACATACTGCCTGGAATATTGAGTTCAAATAAAAGGATTCAAAGGCTGAAGAAATAAAAGGGTAGATGACAAGTCCAAAATAATAATGAGAAGAAATTAACTGTTTTTTTTTTTGGGGTGAAAAAAAGGTATTACCTGTGCTTTAGAATGAGTGGAAAACTCATAGCGTAGTCCATGACAAGTCAAGATATAAAATGAAAATCGTGTTGAGTCTTCTGAGATAAAATTTGGTAAGTCTCCAACTTCAACTATTTCTGTAACCAGGACAGAGTCTTGTGGACTCAAGTCTGCATAAATGTACTTGTTCAAATCACAAGTTAACAATCTATATCTAACAAAAAATATACAGTCCATGCTGCATAGATATTGCTCCAACTGTCCTAATCCATTCAAATGGAAAAAGAATTGATACTCCAACAACATCTGGCTATGGCATTAAAAAGGATTTGATGGTGGGTTGCTGGTATTCAATAGGCAGTTCAATATGGTGAATTCATAAACCATAGGAGTCACAACTGTCCAATGAAATAATGGATGTCAAGCAAGAGTGGAACCCTCCTGAATAGAATATAAGCCAAATGGTGATTCTCTCTCTCTCTCTACAACTGTCCAATGAAATAATGGATGTCGAGAAAGAGTGGAACCCTCCTGAATAGAATATAAGCCAAACGGTGATTCTCTCTCTCTCTCTTTCTCTCTCTCCCCAGGACTGTCCATATTAGTTAACAATGATGACCCTAACGGTCTAACGTTCTTCCATATTCCATAGAAAATAGTATACTTTCCCTTGGTATACAATGAAAGAGTCTAAAAAGGCTCATACTTTCTCTAGTGTAATAGAGTTCCCAATGATGCTGGCTCTTTATGTGTGTATTCTATTAGTAACATACAAACAATAACCCTCTGCACCCAAACTAAGCTTGAAACTTGACTGATTCCTTAATTTGTTAACCATTGAAACATTTGTGGATCCTTAATTTGGTAACTACCGCACCACGCTGAACCCATCAAGAAGACATCTTTATCATGTAAAATCACATGACAAAATTGTAATTACAATTTTTTTTGTTTACAATATCTATATTATCTTTGCTCAAAAAGAAAGACGGAAGAAAGAGCATTCATGCAAATAGCAAAGTCATCCTACATTCATTTATTTCCTGGTATTAGTTACCTTATCCCTCAACCAGTCATGGCCTCACAACACTTATTCTGTGATCCAATATATATATCTGAAGAAAATTTATGATGGGATATAGACTCTATGGTTCATTAACCATTTGTTTGCCAGCAACCCATAGTTTGGAAACCATGTGATTTGACTTTCAAGAAAATGCATGGCTTTTGTGGTTGGGATAAAACAAAGTATATTTATGTCACTCACAAAGCAGCGGCAAAACACAGGTGCATGCACAAATAAATAGGCTAAAAAAATTGGTTTTGGCATCACCCAAAATGCCGTCCCCACCATGGCTGCAGTATCCAGAAAAGTTCTAAAGTACTGAACAAACATCTTTTCAATTCAACACAGAAATAAAATCCATAGTCATTTCTAATTGCCGAATATGAAATCGGAGATAAGTGCAATATATACATACATACATAAATAAATAAATTAATATACATATATATGGCAGTGATCTAATGCAACAGTTGTATCATAGTATAATGCAACTACACTTCAAGAAAACCATGTTTGTGGTATTTGTAAGACCCAAAATTTTGCACACACACTCTCTTCATTGCAATAATCAATCCCCAAAAAATAAAATTTCAATTTGGACCCTAGATATGGTCAAAATGAATCTCCTCCAACAACGAATCTGGACCATTAATTTGGTGAATTTCAAGATCTCAGCCTTTACACACTGAAAATCATTTTTTTTTTTTTTAACATTGTTCATCTAATGATAATAAAGCCATCTAAAAAATTTGGAATAGAAAAAATCCTTCTAAGGCCTAGATCTAAGCATCTCACAAAAATGGACAGCCTATGTTAATTGGAATAAAAAATACTTTCTAAGCAGCGTTTTCGATTTTTTCTATTTTATGATCGTTCATTAGAATGACAAGAGTGTATATTTTAAAATTTGAATCAAAAAAATGGCTCTAACATAGTTTTTGAATATTGTTGCATTATATTACTTTACAACCATTGTATGAAATCACTGCCCATATATATATATATATATATATATATGAAAGGTGCAGTTGGCATACGGATGCATCCGTAGCTGTAGAGGTAAGGTGCACCTTCAAATTTTATCATGGTATATAATTTTGATGTAAAATGTTCTTAGGATTATCTCAAAATCTATTTTATATCTAA